AAATTCACTGGAATATTCATCAAAGAGATTATTTTAGCATAAGCAAGACCACTGTACTCAAATCTCTGTTTATCAAGTTTGCCTCCAAACTCTGCAAAGTGGAGGAAACTTTTATTGGATTTCAGAATTCTCCAAGCATTCTTGGGAAAACAGAAATTAACGGGCTTTGGCATTTCAAGAACTCATTGGGATTATCAAAGGCTTCAGTAGGAAACTCAAAACAAATAGAACAGCAAATCATCAGTGAGAAAGCAATAAACATGGCTAGTGAAATCTATGTCCAGTGTACTTAGCACTGAAGGAAGAGCTTATTTTTACCCAGACCACTTGCGGTTAGATGTACCCTAAAGACAGATATCCAATAATGGTTTGTCTCCTACTTCCTGGCTGGTGTTGTTTCTAGGTTGTGTGTGTGTTGGGAGGGTGGGTCAGGGGAAGGGTGTGACTGCTACTTGAAAACTAGCTCTCCAGGAAGGATCAAATCATCTACAGTGTGACTTTCCCTCCTCTCAGGACAATTGCATTTAAATATAGGCCAAAGGCTTAAGTCACAGGAATAAGGCTTAATCACAGGATTTCAGAAAATAGCCTTTTGGGAAGCTTGAGGACGGGATGGTGCAGTTGCCCTAGAGCCTCTGAAAGTACGATGTGTCGGTCTGCCTTTCTCAAATTAGGCTGAATTTTCAAGTCCTTGTTGAAACTTCCAAGTCTTTGTTACAGATTGCCTCGGAATCCTAGTCTGGTTTAATCAGTTTATGATCAACTCCAGAATGACAGAGGAGTATACACAGAGAGGACTTGTATCAGGGGAAGTGAAATAATTACTTCCTTAATGAAAAGCGAATTTAAATTCTAGGTTACTTATAGTAGCTGCTTGTTGGGAGAGGGGAACCATAAATTTAAAGTTGTGATTTTTTTTTTTTTAAATGTTCGGGAAAACGTGTCAAGCAATAATATATTAGGTGTGCAATACTTTTGTCAGGTAGAATGTCCTGGCTTTGGAAGGGTGACAAGAGGATTGTTACAGCAGTCTGCCTTTCAAAGGGCAGCTTTGATCATATGGTTAACTTGACATTTGGGCTGAGGAATTTAACCTCACCAGTGATGGGACTGGATTTTGCCACGCTCCCCTTACCCAAACTACAACATGCTTACTGCTTTCTCCCCACATTCCCCACATCTCAGCCTCCAGGACCAGCTACCAACAAGTCATTTTGTCCATTTTCATTGGTCTGACCACACAAGCAACATCCTGTTTCTTTAAATCTCTGATGCTCAAATTTCCATTGTAGAAACCAACTCCCTGTCAATTTTCTCTACGTTTAATCCTCAGCTTCTTGTCATATTTTCATTTTTCTGCATTGGTTCCCATGGTAACAAGTCTATTGGCAGAGAAAGTGTGACTCTGCTTTTAGCCCTCTGCACAATACAAAATCCTTCTAGTGATTCTCAGGCAAGTGTCATATAAAAAGGCAGGGAGAGACTACAGTTCCCTAGGCTAATGCCTCTAATCCTCTACCCCACCACCTGTTCTTTCCCACCCTATTCCCCAACCAGGCCCACTGCCCAGAATCCCTTCATCTTTTGATCCAAGTATTCGAAGTGCCCTCCTATCCAACTACAGATGCCAGGACTGAACCTTTTTTGTTCAGACGACTTCCTCTTCTGTGAGTGACTTACCGGACAGAAATGTGTTAACTAATGGCAATGGACATTTGGAGGCAACATGGGAGAAGCAACTTGCACTCATTTTTCTATAAAATATCCTCAATATGCATCTGAGATGTATACAGCCCAGGGAATAAGTAGGTCCTGAATGAGCTCCTGAGGAAGAGGAAGAGTTAACAAAGATGTAGAGAAGCAAAAAACCTTGTAACTGGTGGCCAAATGTGAGCAAGGGGGCTACAGTTGGGACAATTCAGGGTTCAAGTAAGTAAAAGGTAAGAAACCTACCAAAAGCTAAGGAAATGGAGCATAGAGAAAAAAGGAGTTTTTGAGTCAACGGCAGAATGGGAGCCTGCATAGGAGAGAATAGCTTTCTGCAAACTTTGGCCCAACTCCATCTACAAAACATTTTTCCAAGTAATCTTTCCCTTAATAACAGATTGTATGTTTTATTTTGAATTCTAGAATTCCACTGTGGCTTGGCAGTAAGTTATATGCCTAGCAACCCCAAATCTCCTATGTCCTCAGTACTCACAAAAAAATCAGGAACTGTTCATCAGAAATTATACAGTCCCCATGCTGAATGTGCTTTTTATTTAGGTTTTTTGAAAAGTTAATGAATTCAGGGGAATGAAAATAGATGTTGGAAATAAAAATGTGGGTATCTCTAGTTAAGAAAATTATCAAATGTAAATGATTCCTTTCTTCGTTGGGTTTTATAAAAATATGTGATACTTAAGCACACTGAAGTTTTAAAGTCGGCTGATTATATTGTACAAAGGTATTTTTGGCCCTTTAAAAATTATTTTCCTACATTAAGAAAAGTTTTCTTATATTCAAAACTTTATTGTGACTCAGGTTTTGTGTCTCTGCATAGACACACATATATAGGTGTTTTTCTTTGCACACTTGTTTTACACAGGTAAAATAATGAGATTAAATAATGCCCAGGTATGCAGGTCAACTGACTTCTATGGTAGCTAGATTAAGGAAAGCATCTGATGAATGGACAAAAGAAATCACATGATATTTCTTTGTATCTTTCCATCTCTCTTCCCCTTCCCCAGCACTCTACTAAAGAACGTCAGGAAATCTTATGTAATTTTTTGGAAAGTCCACAGGAAACCAAGTTGCAAGTCTCAGGCAGAACATGAAGCAGTTCCCATATTTGTTAGAATGGTGATTTATTTTCAGAATGTAATGCCAAAATAAATTTTATATTCAATACTTATAGAGTCTTTCCACTCAGAGGACTCTTATTGGTCTTGAATGTGGAAAAGGCATCTGTTCAGGGCAGCGAGTAATGTATGTTAAGTTTTACGCTAGAAAATTTGGTTTTAGCTTTGATGACACCCAGTGTCAATGGAATGCAATAAATGTTTTATACTGCTTTCTGATGTTTAGGTATTTCCCTTTAACATCCTCAACTGCATTTTTCTCCTTGAAAACGCAAGCCTTACTGTTCTCTGTTTGGAATGGAGAAAAAGATAATTGATAGGCAGATAAGCTGGATATTTTTGTCTCAAAGCCAGTCAAGTTTCTTTTTGGACTCAGTGTGTAAAAGGGACTAAAGGAAGCTTAAGGACAATGGCATTGTCTTCATATAAAGGAGCAAATTTTTCCTGGTTAAAAATCAGAGGTGAATCTACTAAATTGTTTGTAAATTTCAAAGACTATCTCAAATAACCTTGGAAAAGTAAGGTTTTAAGTGCTGTAGTTTCATTTTTCCCACTTTATAACCACCCAAGGGCACCCCCCTACCCAGCTGTATATAAGTAAACTATAATATGAACTATGGTCTCTTTCTACTCAGAGAAGAAATATTAACAGCAGCGATTCTAAATAGACAGTGATAAATTTTTAATTGGTCTGTAAAGAATTATAAGTAAAAGGATATTAGATACTAGGTTTTTAGAATTTTAAGTATCCATGAGAATTATTCTTTCATTCCTAAAGTGCTTGACAATTGATTACTTTGGATCTTAGTTATTGGGGGTGGGGACACAACACAATCTTTTTATTACTGTGTAAAGAAGTTCTAATTCCACCTATTTATATTAAATATTTTTCATATGCTAAACATATGTGCACACAAATTATCCATTTTTCCTTTGAGATCATATAATTCAGTTAGTGAAATATTTCACTCTTCTTTAAGAAAAATTCCTATGCAGTGATGCAACACTGACTGGGCCACTATTTTAATAAGATGAAGACAGTCTCTAGACTCATTCTTTTTCAACATCTGACTTCACTACCATATGTGCAGCACAACAGTGACATCTTAAGGCCAAGTAACTAGAACTCCTTTAGCCAGAGAAAGAATTTGAATTGGATCTGTTCTCAAAGAAATTTCATCCTGTTATCAAGTAGTTTTCAAGTTCCGTTTGCAACTGGTAGATCTTTCTAAATGCTACTTTATGACTTCTTTTGCAGTCTTTGTGAACATTTTTATGTGCACTGGTAAACACTAACATTTTACAAAGACATATTGTATATTAATGCATGCATTTCATTGCATAGTTTATTGACACTCCCCTTGTAAAGCTTTTATGGAAGAAACAACAAGCCACAGCAGTATAGCAAAAGAGGCTTAATCTTTATAAATTGGGGCCTTTTCTGTCTCTTTGCTAGCCTAGGTGGCTGTATACAAATTCGGGTGGGAGGGGGCAAGAAACACCTCTTAACATTTAAGGTTTTCTACATCGATGAACTCTAGTCAATTCAAAATAAATTGCTTACTTTAGTAAAAAATTTTACCATTTTATAAAAAAAAAGTTAAATCATGACATGTTTAATTGAAATGGCTGTATTGTAATTAATATTTTGAGATAATTGTGATTTTGAGCTTCAATTATATATAAAAAGTTGTCATTTTTGTATGTGCTAAAAATATGTATCACAATTAACAGTACTTTTTAGTTGAACTACATATTGATGTAAATAAAAACTGAATGAAGACATATTTACTACTTTATTAACATAGATTGTGAATGTACTTAATGGTTTTTTTGCAGTATGAGACCATAATGACTTTGAAAGCTGCTTCATTTTATGTGCAAAGGAGTCCTATGAATCTATATTTTAAACTTACTGAATCAGTGAAATTAATTACTTTGTCAGTTAATTTGCAAATGCAAGCTGTACTCTCCAGTTTATTTTATGTATTGACACTAATTGGTAAAGGTGTACAATGTGATTAGAATGCATTCTGAAGATGCTTTCTGTACAGATACAAAATACAGGGACTAAAATAATGCTGTGCAGTGTATAGCAGAGCCATTTTTCGGCTTTGGTGTACTCAATTTTTTCAGTATTTAAAAACGTGTTTTGAATAACATAAAAGTCTCTTTATTGTATAAATAATAAAATGTCACATTATTGTAAAGTGTCTTTTGTCTAATATCGAAGCAGATTTCTTAGCCACAGAGTTGTAGTACGAAAAGGGCATGTTTTTTTAAGCCAAAAACAACTATTATAATCCATATTTGAAAATGTAACTTTTATTATGAACATGTAGTATTTATCTTTATTAGCAATGAGTTTTTTCATAATATGAGCATGCCTCAATCACCCAAAAGCTAGCTAGCTACCTACCTGCCTATCTATATAAGTTAATATACATTCTGTTGATTGGCTACTTAATAGAATCAAATGGTAAGTTTTATTATGACTGATCAGCCTACCTCTGATATTTTTGGTACAAATAAAAATATTTCTACTTTATTTTTACTAAATCAAGTTAACCTGTAACAAATTCCCTTTTAGAAAATTTCCACATGACTACAAGTTTAGTCTTATGAAGATCATAAATAAATTTGAGAAGTAAGGCCCTGGAAATAAAAAAAATAAATGCACAAGGTTGGATTAGAACACACCAACAGAGTAGATAATGTATACAAATATCTGCTTAGTAAATTACTTCAGAAATTTCGAAGACTTTATGTGGTATATGTTATTAGTTATTTTCTGTTGCTGACATCTACAGAATTAAAATAAGCTCTTCAATACTTTTTAAAGAAGAACAAAAGGTATTTGTAAACACACTGAGGGAAAAATATGCAGATCGAATCCCTTCAAATTTCTTGAATCTAGAAGTACTAGGTTACTGTATGGAAACTTAATAGTAAGAAATCATTTTAAAAAAACTTGTCAAGTTTTAAATTCAAAATTGTGAGAGCAACTTAAACAACGCTTTTACTGTTTTCTCTGCCAATAACTACATCTCGTGTAACATTCCTGTTACATTAGATATTATGACAAAATGGTTTCATAAAATGTAGGGAAAAGGCTAGACAAGAAACATTTCAACTAGATTAAAACAAAAGCAAGACAGTGAATGTTAATTTAAAACTTATACCAAGACCAACCACATCACAAAAGTCTTATCACGGGTAAGGAAAAGCCTTATTTTTTTAAATGCCAAAGAACAGTTTTGAATAAAATTCAATTCAATTTTATATCTAACAAAAAAGGTAGAAATTAGATGGTCATATTCAAATCAACTAGTCACATTAAATGTAACATGAACAGAAATGTTGGGGAAAATCCCACTTCTACAAAAATGCTTTCTCATTATAAAAATATCAAACTAACTTAAATAAAAAATCACCTTTGAAGAAATTGTTTACTATCTTATAAGGAATGAAAGTAGGATAAATCTTATGCAAAACATTCAGAATAAATGCATGAACACTGTATGTGGTTATCACCATTACAAATGAACAATACCTTAGAAAAACGTTACTTATCAATGTAAGAAGTCTAAGAATTAACATGACCAAGATTATAAAACAACTCCAATTTAAGTAGGAATCCGGTCTCTCAAATATTCCAGAACAGCAGCTGTTCCTTTCATTAATATGGCTGCTCGAGGAACACGGAATGGATTTCCATCTAGTAGTAGTGTTCTAAATAAAAGAGAGAATTAAGAATTTTAACATTTTCCATTAGGGAGGCTTTTCTTCTAATTTCAATTGCAATTTTATAAATCAATTTGTGTATTTTTTTCTATTTGTCCCTTTTCAAATCTAAGCATTTCAATAGTTGGAATTAGAACTACAATAATAACCCAAACAACATTAATTGAATACTTATTATATGAAAGGTGTTGTGTTGAGGAATTTATGTTCACTGACTCTCTTTTATCTTAACAATCCTATGATGTAGACACCATTGATGTTCCTATTTAATAGGTAAGGAAACATGAGTTCAGAGAAGTAAGACAGACATGTCCCAAGATCATACAGCTATTAAACAGAGGAGCTGTGACGTGAGCCACCATTTTACCCATCTTCTTCTCAATCTTATAATGACCATATACTACATGGTTAAATTATATTTATACATTAGAATGAGCATACTTGTCAGTATACCAAGGACTATAGTGTAATCAATATATCCCCCCTCCGCCCTGGGAAACATTAATTCCTGCTCTCTACCTCCCTTGACCAGATGCACGCAGAAAATCTATTTACATGTTCTAAAATGAGGTTCAATTTCAGATTTGAGGACTGGTTGATTGGTTTCTTTAAATGAAATAAATTATAAGATAAAGAGACTTTTAATTTTCAAAAATTTAAGTGTTTGTGTAAACAAAAGCCAAAGGATTCATACCATATCATATTACACAATAGATCTAAATGATATCCTCAATATTTCTATGGGCTGTGGAAATTCTTTCAAAGGCTAATTTTCTTAATTTATAAAAAGGAATTAATTACAGTTACTCCTCATTATTCACAGCCTCTCTATGTGCTAATGTGCCTATGACTAAAAATTATTAGTAACCCCAAAATCAATACAAAGGGCACTTTCGAGGTCATTTTTGGATATGCAGAACAGCAAAAAATTTGAGTCAATCACTAGGCACATTCTCAGCTGAGGTCAGAAAGGTGATGCTCTCCCTTCTTGTGTCAGTTCTCACACTGTAATCAAGCATCCTTTCTGTGGTCTACTTAGTAATGCAACATTTTTTGCATTTTTGTACTTTGTGTTGGTGATTTCACTGTTTAAAATGGCCTGCAAGTGTGGTGCTGAAGTGTTTTCTACTTTTCCTAAACACAAGAGGGCTGTGGTGTGCCTTACAGAGAAAATATATACACCAGATAAGCTTCATTCAGGCATGAATTATAGTGTTGTTTGGCCATAGTTAAATGTTAATGAATAAATAATATTAAATACAGAAATACACATAGAACAAGGTTATGTATTGACTAGTTCATGAAAATGTGACCAGAGGCTCCAAAGAGCCTAACTTTATACTTCCCCTAGCAATAATGGTTCAGTATTCACTAATCTGGTGTTCACAGAGACTTCATAAAATACAACTACTGCAAACAACAAGAACCAACTGTATTTGCCTCTTACAATTCACTAATATGAGCACCAAAGCAGATGCCAGTGCTGCCCTAGCAAAGTAAAATATGCCCAACCTCATATATAGTTTTCAATAAATTAAATAAATTAAATTACTTCCGACACATTCTGCTTAAGTACTTGGCTTTCTGTTGACATCTCAAAACTCTCTTTATATTCATTTAACAAGCACCTATGGAGTGCTTACTGTGTTCTAGGCACTGGGACAACTCTTTTCTAAAGGAGGAAAAAGAAATGATACAAATGAGTCCAAACAAAGCAGGCTGGAAAATCAGAGGGAGGGACTAACTCTGCTTGGAGAAGAGGGAAGGTTTGGAGAAGAGGGATGATATTTAGGTTGATTCCTGATAAAAGCAGGGTGGAGGCATTTGAGGTTAAGGTAACAGCTAACACAAAGAATAAGAAAGACCACTCTGGGCTTGAAATAAATGGTGACAGTCTGTAATCAGATTCTGAGCAACCTTGTATCCATAACTGGGGAGTTTGTATTTCCCTGACATTTTTTATGCAGTGCAGTTTCAAGTTATACACATACAGTGATGACAAAAGTATCAGAAAACAATCAGTTACTATATTGACATATATTATAGCATATAAACAAAGCTAAAAAATATATTATTTGGTAAAACTTGAAAAATGGAATTGGGATTCTGGATTTTGTTACCAGTTATTTTAACACAACATTAAATTTTTTACTTCAACTTTCCTGCAAGAGTACCTCAACAAGAGAAAAAAAAAACTTATAAATCAATTAAATGGAAAAACTTAGTAGAATGGTGTAGTTACCTTAAGTTCACACAATTACCAAGCTCTGGCGGAATTTGTAGGAGGTCATTATTTTGAAGGTCCAAGGTGATCAGATTTTCCATTGCCTTCATTTTCTGAGGATCCACAGATCCAACCTGATTGTTACTAATCAAAATTGTTTCAAGTGTGGGGATGTGATACAGAACTTCAGGTAGTATTCTGAACCTGTTAAAATATGAACAGAACACCTAAATGTATTGGAATCAAGGGAAAATCATTCCTTCAAATAGATGATCCTAAGTTTGATATCATCATGTAGTTTCATTTAGTGTAATTTATTTTATATTTGGTTTAAGTCCTGTGTTCAAATTTCAAGAAATGAACTGATTTTGGAAACCTTAAAATATATGTTAAGTGGACAGACGTATCATTTTCTGTTTATTGTGTAAATCCAACAAAAGTTTAAATTCTCCCATGTTTTTCTTTTCACATTTAGGAGACAAGAAAATCCTCCTGAGATTCTATATAAAACATCCCCATGTAGGTATTCTTCCTTAGTTTGCTTTTACTTCTTATAAAACAGAATTACTACCAATATATTAAATAAATATTAGAGATTTATATTTTGCTCTGATTGAAGCTTCCAAAATGAGTGCAATTTTGGTTCTTGAAAAGATGACAAACTAACATAGGCTGCTGCCTGCTCATCCAAAGCAACACTGAAGATGTCACAAAAAAGAAGGGAAGGCTGATTGCTCTCAGAGCAATACTCAGCAATTAATGCAAGATTATTGAGGATCTTTTGGCATGGTTACAGTGTGAGATAACTGTGGCATGGACTAGAAAAGACAAGGGTTGGGCTGAAGGAGAGATTTATAGCTGTGCCCTTTTAACTTCCCTATACTGCCCTTCTTTTGCTGCCTTGATGTTTTAAAAAAAAAAAAAAAGTAAGAAAGGAAGGAAGAAAAAGAAAAAGAAAGAAAGAAAGAAAGAAAGAAAGAAAGAAAGAAAGAAAGAAAGAGAAAGAAAGAGAAAAGGAAGGAAGGAAGGAAGGAAGGAAGGAAGGAAGGAAGGAAGGAAGAAAGAAAGAAAGAAAGAAAGAAAGAAAGAAAGAAAGAAAGAAAG